AAAAAAAAAACCAATAAGGGTGAGTTTGTTGTAATTAATGTTACATGTGAAAAGAGAATTGTATGAGAATTCTTAGATGATGTGTTTAATATTGTAAGTAAATGGTAATATTAATGTTGCATGTGGAAATGTCCAAATTCAATGAGAGAAGATCTTAACCGTGTTCGGTTTTGAGAAGTGCAAATGAAACTCAAAATTTCCTAAGTTTTGCCTTAATGAAGGCATTAAATGAAGTTCTCTTCATTGAATGAAAACATGTCTCATGAGCACTATAAATAGTGCATGCATGCTTAAAGAGAAGAACACACCAAAAGAAGAAAAGAAAAAGGATCAATTTATATATAATCTCTTTTATCCTCTACAAGTCTAAGAATAATTAAGGGTTCTTGGTGACTGAGCTTCTGATCGAGGTGAGTGTGTTAGATAGTACAGTCTTCACACTTTGAGCCGTCTTATCCTAGGAGAAAATGCGTAGTACTCGTTGCACAGTATCGGGGCGTCTGTTTGTTCAAGGCAAACAGATTTTCTGTGATTCGGCTATATGTGTTCTGTGGCAACATAGAACTGTCAATTAAGTTATTTATGTTTATAATAAACTTATTTATTTACTAATAGAAATCTGGTTTCATCTCACTTTCCTGTGGTTGATGTTTGTAGTTTCTATTTTCAAATTTTTAATACGTATATGTGTTAAAACTCGTTCTTAATTCGCCTTTTACAATTTATTTTTTCCAACAGAGTTATTTATTTTTTATATCTTTTAATTAGTGATGTTTATTTTATCCAGAATATTAATGCATTAATTAATATATTATTCCTCTAACACGTTATATTAATATAAATTTGATTTTAGAATATATATTTATTCATTGAGATAAGAAAAAATAACAATTTACTTATTCTTGTTCACTGTATAGTACGCAGTTATTGTTTTATTATAGACTTTATTGTCTTAAAATGTCACTGTTATTATTTATAAAAGTTGTAGAAGTAGTCTTTTTCTTCTTAATTTATGTAATGAAATTGGAGTTACAAACTAAAAAACAGAACCGAATACACAAAACTAAAAAAAATACTAAAAATGTTTTTATATTAATAGACATTGGAATTACAAACTAATTAAAAAAAACTAGAACAACTGAATTAATCAGGTAACTAAGCTGAATCTAAAATGTTTATTTAGAGGTAATAACCTAGAACCGAATACACAAAACAAACCTAAATTTTTAATTGAAATTGCCAAACTGTCACAAAGAAAACTAAAATACTTACAATAATTTAGACTAAATAAACATAAAAAAAGATAAAAATTATACAAACTAAAATAAAGCTTCCCCAAACTAATGTGCCACCACCTATATTTTAGCTCATTTATTACTCATAATTAGTTTATGATTTACATTAAAATGGTTTGTAGAAAAGATGGTAAACCATTTTTTTTTTTTTTTTTTT